GATTGTAAAAAGAAGTAGCACTAATAAGACCTACAGAAGTGGCTTTCTATTTCACTAAGGAAACAAAAAAAGTGGGACACATATTGACTTTTATGAGAGCTAAAAAGAAAAAATAGCAAAAAAGAAATTAAAGGTCCTAACCAGATTCGAACTGATGTTGTTCGGAAGTTTGACTAATTTAATCAAAACCGAAAGTGATAACCAAGCTACACTATAGGACCACTGCACCACAAAGAGTGATTTCTGCTTTAAAAGTTTTNAAAGTGATAACCAAGCTACACTATAGGACCACTGCACCACAAAGAGTGATTTCTGGTCAAAAAGTTTTTTGGTTTAATAAACTAGTATATCTTTAGTCAGATGATCAATGTTTGCACCATCCGTCATTCCCTCTATAATCACGAAGTTTCCTTCATTTCGCCTTGTTACGGTCTCAATTTCACTAAAATATATTTATAATTGCAAATCACAAAAAATGTCGTTGGGGCACTTTTAAGGATTGTTTGATGAATTCAAAATTCAGATGAAATTTGCAAGAATAATTTGACGAAAATTACAAAAAATCTAGGACTCCATCAGCGGAATTCATTAGCTAGACAAGCATCCAGCCATCCAAAAATAAGCTAGAATGCTGTTCTTAAAGCAATTCGTTCATTCACATGAACTAACTCTTTATATCTACAGTAGTCGAAGACGTATCGAGATAATGACTAGTGTAGCAATCAGTCCCCCCTCCCCTTTCAAGGAGGCATTACACCCGCTGAAATTACAGCAAGAGTCTAGTTTCCATACTAACAACTATATATACATAATCGCCAAGAAGTATACAATATAAAATCACCTATTCTGGTAGATAAGGGGTTAGTTGAATCATGTGCGGATATATAAAAATAGAAGTGTAAAAAAAAAAAACATTACGCAAATATCGTTTATGGAAAATCCTTCGTTGTCTTTTTTTTTTTTTTTTTTTTTTTTTTTTACCTTTTTTTTATTTTTTTTTTTTTTTTTTTTTTCCAACGCGTTTTCAACAAAATCACTGTCTTCATCATATCTAAGAGATTGACTACTATCGAACATGGCAGTAACAAGGGCAAATGCTAGGTTGATCAGGTTTGTGATATTTGCCGTGGTCTTAATCGGATGCGGGTATCTCCTTACCAAAGGGTCAACGTATGAGCCACCTCAAGTTAAGCAACAACAAGGGGTTGGTGCTTCCAAACTTCAACAGCAGCAACAACAACAGCAACAACAACAGACACCACCTCAAGCTGGTGCCCCGCCTTCAAAGGCTCAGCAGCAGCAACAACAGCAACAGCTTCAGAAACCGGCAGCTCAGCAGCCACCACCAGCTAAAGCCAACACTCCCGGAACTCAATCAACTGACGATTTGAAATATACACCTAAAAACATGGGCCCCGTAGCCAAAGCATTCCTTGGAGAAGACAAACAAACACCACAATACATTCCCCAAAAGAACATTGACCCAGCCACTTACACCCCCAATGACAAGATCAAGGCTGCGTTTGTTGGATTGGCACGTAATCAGGACTTGAATGGGTTCTTGGCCTCCATCAAAACCATTGAACAGCGCTTCAATAACAAGTTCCATTACGATTGGGTGTTTCTCAACGAAGTTGAGTTTAGTGAAGAGTTCAAAACGACGATTTCCAATGCTGTTAGTGGTGAGGCGAAATTTGGTTTGATCCCCGCTGAACACTGGTCGTACCCTGAATGGATCGATCAGGAGAAGGCAGCTTTGGTGAGAGAGGATATGAGGGATAGGAAGATCATTTATGGGGATTCGGCAAGTTACCGTCACATGTGTCGATTCGAGTCGGGTTTTTTCTGGAGACAGGATATCTTGAAGGATTACGAGTATTACTGGCGTGTTGATCCTGATGTCAAGTTGTTTTGTGATATCGATTACGATGTGTTCAAGTGGATGAAGGATAATGATAAACAGTATAGTTTTACCATTTCGTTACCAGAGTATAAGGAGACGATTCCAACGTTGTGGCAAACCACAAAGGAATTCATTGACAAGAATCCAAATTACCTTGCCCAGAACAATATGATGAATTGGTTGAGTGACGATGGCGGAAAGACGTACAATGGATGCCATTTCTGGTCCAATTTCGAAATTGCCAGCTTGGACTTCTGGAGAAGCGACGCGTACAAGGCATATTTCGAGTACTTGGATAAAGCAGGTGGGTTCTTTTATGAGCGTTGGGGTGATGCTCCTGTGCATTCTATCGCCGCAGCGTTGTTTTTGCCAAAGGAGAAGATCCATTTCTTTGAGGATATTGGGTATTTCCACGTCCCGTTCAATAATTGCCCAGTTGATGACAGAATTAGACAAGAGAGAAACTGTGATTGTCTTCCAAAGGATGATTTCACTTGGAAGGCTTATTCTTGTACTACAAAGTATTACAAGGTTAATAATTACAAGAGACAAAAGAACTGGGAGAAATTTACTTAGGTAAGTAGAAAGATACGCTTAACTTGCGGATACTTTGAATCAATGATATTGACAGCTTCTACATTGGGACTTTATATTTCTTGTTTTTTTTTTCTTTTTCTTTCTTTTTGTTATCACGGGGAAACCAATTGTACATGTGTATATCAAATTCAGAAAATGCTCATTCCCTTGTGCAGCCCTCAACACTTTCATCTCTACAACTTTCAACTTCATTAAACGTAGCTAGTGTTCATCGATATGGGGTATAAAAGTATGTAATATATATATATATATTTGATGAAAACAACTCTTGTTCTTTTTTTTTTTTTTTTTATTTAAAAAAAAAGTCTAAATCTGATGCAACAACTTCTTTATATTTTTAAGCTTGATCATTGTACCCATTGTAAATGGCAAATCTCGAAAACCAACTATTGTTCTTTTCTCTGTTTCCCTTGGGAACTCTAACCAACCAGTAGAGAAATACCGTTGCAATCATATTGAAAACAATAAAGGCAATAAAAATCCCAACATCGCGACCGAAATTGTGTATGGAAATATTGATGCTCTTCAAATACTGATTTGTCTTGTCCATTGGACAATATTCACAACTATCGGTAGCGTCAGGATTCGTCAAGTACCCACCAGCAATGGAAATGTAAGCTCCCATGTAGTCCTTACATTTTTGAGTTCCTGGTTGTTGAGGTGGGAAATGCAAATACTCATTTTTGGAGCAATGAATCTCGGAATTACCAACACCAATTGACAACATTGCCGAAATAAGATAGGTGAATGGGTTGCAGCGGTAAAGGAAGATCCAAAAACGAGGCATAAAGTCCTTGGTGGCAATAACACCGCAAAATGTCATGCACACGGTGATTAGGAATGAAATGATATTTGCTGCATTGTCAGCCAACTGATTGAACGAAATGCACAACTGAGCCAATGTTGAGCTATAAACAAACATCAACGTCATGGCAACCCACATCAATGCTCCACGCTGCTCAATGGCACTTCCAGCATTACGGTACATACCAACTGGGTAGTACCAAACAAAAAATGAAATGGCAGCCGCAGCAATTTGGTACGGAATTTCTGAAGTGATTTGAGCGGCAATAAACGCAAGCCAGGAAAATGTCTTTGATGGATGTTCTCTTGCCTCAAACAAGTCACGTTGAGTAACAAACATTGGGACATATTGTTGTGCCAAAGTGGTCATAACAACAAACAACAAGAAAATCGACAACATCTGATTTTGCAATCCTTGCATGGAGTTTTTCGATTTGAAGAAAGTAAATCCGTTAAACAAAGAACACAATATGGCCATGGCAAATTTGGAGTAGATATACGAGGGGGTACGCCAGTACTGTTGAAACAACCTCTTCAACACATAAAAGTATTGTGTCATAAGCGGAGCAGCATATGTCCTCCTTGCCTCCTTTTCATCACTCCACAACTTCTTTGTTGAAGGCGTGGTTGTACCGCTTGGGGCATGGCCATAACCAACAGCCCCAGTACCCATTTGTTCCAACTCATCCAATTCTCCTTGAACAGCACGGTATTCTGGTGAGTTTAGCCACACTTGGTGGAAATCCTTAACGGCAGTGGACCCAGGTGCGGCACCAATCACATGCAACATCCATTCTGCTGGATTTGCATCAGCAGGACATTTAGGAGCACCATTGCGTTCAAAGTAATCAATCAAGGTTTGGCACTGGTAACCAAAGTCACCAAAGTAAACAGTTTCACCACCACTACGAAGAAACAACAAACGATCAAACTCTTCCAACAAAATTGACGATGGCTGATGGATGGTGCACAAAATGGCTTGACCATGGTTGGCCAATTTTCTAATCAATTTACAAATTGACCATGCAGTTTGGGAATCCAATCCTGACGTGGGCTCATCCAAAAACAACAACAACTTGGGTCTGGCAACCAACTCAACCGCAATAGTCAAGCGCTTTCTTTGTTCAACATTCAAACCCTCACCTTGAACACCAACAACGGCATCAGCATATGGCTCCATTTCCATCAACTCAATAATCTTTTCCACATATTCATTCTTGTCAGCCTTTGAAACCTTGCGCGATTGTCTCAAATAAGCACTAAATCTCAATGCTTCACGCACAGTTGATGTTTCCAAATGCAAATCTTGTTGTTGTACATATCCAATCAGTCGCTGGAAGGCATTATCCAATTGGCATCCATTGACCATTCGAGAACCTGAGGTGATGACACCGACAGTCAAACGCTCGCTCAAGGCATTCAACAATGTTGTTTTACCAGCACCAGATGCTCCCATCAAAGCGGTAACTTCACCAGGTTTGACCCATCCATCAACGCCATTCAAAATGGTTCTCTCTTCACCTTTGATGTGTAGCTTGTACGTCAAATCACGCCAATGGAAAACATTTGAAGTTTGCAACAACTTGCGGTCAACATACTCATAAGAGTCAGTTTCGTCACTCAATTCAGTACTAAACTCAAATGCTTTTTGGTCCTCCATATAACCTTCCTCGTCATCTTCATAAGCCTTCATATTCTTAACGTGTCTTCTTCTAAAAACCAAAATTTCACCCTTGGATTTGGCAGCTTGACTGTATTGAACAAAGTACAAGGTGGTGAAAAACAAGAAAATGACAAACGCCAACAAGATACCAAAATTTCTCCAAGCATGTTTCCATTCGTAGGTGAAAGCAGTCTTAATGTACAAGTCACCGTCAACAAATGATGATCCTGGAAGTGCTGCAAGCGTGGCACAAACAACTGAATTACCAGACTTTGGATATCCAAACCCCAGCGGCACAAAACGAGAACATTCAAACGTACGTCCATGAAACTCATTGGCAATAAGTGCTTCATAAGCATAAGACAATGGGTTAACCCAATGGATCCACTTACACCAACCAAGCATATAGGTTACAGGGATGGCAAACCCAGTGAATGTACTCATGGCATACAACAAAAGCGATGATGGTGTCATTGCCTCTGCCAACGTCTTTGTAAATGCACCAATGGTTCTGAACAAATGAGACATCATCAACGTGGCAAGGAAGTTCATCAACAAGTAGAAAAAGAATGCACCTGGTTCACGTTTAAAATTAACCATAAAGTAAAGTGCCAAATTGAAACAACAACTACTGACAACTTTCAATGGGAAATCCGCCAATATCGAACCAATCGCATCTGCCACCGGTGGGTACAATGCGTATTCACGATGTTTTTGAACAATTGGTCTAGTTTCATAAACTGTGTAAATTTCCAATACTGACGAATAGGAGTTAAACAACAAGGCATAATACATAACGGCGGTACGATAATAAAACGATTCGGTATTTGGCTGCAAATTGTAGAAAACCGAGGCCAAGATCAAACTCATGGCAACATTTCCAAATATTGTCAAGATTGGGAAAGATGGAGCACCCTTCATTCGATCAAAGTTTCGCTTAATGATATACCGTACTTGCATAGGTAAGGACACAGTATATGGCGATTTTTTGTTTGTGTTTTTGGATTTTTTAGCTTGCATGGCTTCGAAAATCTCTTGTTTTTGATCATAATTTTCACAATTGTCCAAGTATTCATCAATCTCCTCCAACAATGCTTGTCTTTCTGGTGATCTTCTCCAATAACGGTAGAATTCCTTTGGCGTACGTGGCACAATTTTTTCAAATCCTGGTTTCACAATACGTTCTGCTGGGTTGGTGATTGAAGTAAGAAAATCTGGAGTGGTTTGTCTTGCTTCACAAACAAACCCCATTTTTTGGAAATATGTTGCTGCACGTTGACTTGAACCGAAAAAGATTTGATAGCCTTCGTACATGACAATGACTTTGTCAAACAAGTCATAGGCATCCTGTGAGCATTGGTAAATGGCAATCAATGGGGTATCGTTTAAAATCGATGCTGAAGTTTTCAAAGAACTGATAAATTCAAGAGCTGTAGCTGCATCCAACCCACGAGTTGAGTTATCCCAACACTGAATTGATGCCTGCACCAATGAAACTTCAGCAATGGATACTCTTTTACGTTCACCACCAGAAACACCTCGTACAAAATCGTTACCAATTTTGGTATTTTTTGTGTGTGACAATCCATAAGTTGCCATCACAACATCAACAAGATGCTTTGCATACAATTCACGAGAGACATCAAGAGGTCTGTTTCTTGGTGTCTTCATCAATGCGGCAAATTCCAATGTTTGTCCCACAGTCAAATAAGGGAAATGGGTTTCAGTTTCAGCACAATACACAACTTCACCTCTTAAATTTTTCTTGATTTCTTCTGGAGTGATACCATCATATGAGATTATCGAGCCATCGGCAACATTGAAACCATCGGTGTGGCCAGAAATCGTTTTGAGAAAAGTTGTACATCCGGCACCGGGTCTACCTAGTACAACTGTAACTTCACCTGGCTTAATCAATCCTTCCATTGGCTTCAAAATGTCAAAAGTGTGTTCTTCCTTTTTTGTGGTGAACTTGTCAATGACATTTCTAGCATACTTCATGACTCCATTGGATACAGTGGTTTGGTAATCAGAGTTGACCGCATCACCATAAACACGCAAGTTTTTATAAGCAACACCCAATTTTCCTGGCTTGTAATAGTCAGAGTCACTTTGGTATAATCTCCACATATTCTGCACATATCTCTTGGAACTGAAGCTGGGTGAATTTGGGTCCAAAGTGGGGTCAGTCTTGTCTAGAAAAGGGTTAACACCGTGAGGTGTTTGTGCTGTGGCATGAGACTGTTTGATGTAGCTTTCGTCAAAAAACGATTGTTGTTGAGTCGTTATAGTTTTGGCCAAATGGTGAATCTGAGCAGAAGCGGATTTGTTGAAGCCAGAATAGTATCCATAATAAGGTTGCCCTTCTGGCTTTTTGCCAGTGTAATAGCCATGGTACGGCTGACTAGCTGATTTTTGTGGCATTAGGGATGGTGATGTGTGTGGAAGCGAGAATTATATTGGATGGATGTTACCCCCTAGGGACTCTTTTAAATAGTGAAATACAACTCAATAATAAAAACGGTGTGAGGTTTGGTTGCAAAGATTTTGGGTTATAATCGTCCGATTTGCCGAGGGAGAACAAAAGAAACGCAGCTGGTATAAAATGAAATGAAATAAAATGACACGAAACGAAAAGTGGGCAACGTAATGAATGAATGGTGGTTGAGGTTGTGTTAGTAAATCAACTCTCTCTCTCTCTGTGTGTATGTGTGTGTGTATAGGGTCAGTTCTAATGGCGATGATAACACAGTAATACAGTTACTAGTAGATCTTAAATCTCTTCTTTCTTCTTTGTCAAAGTGCAAGTAGAAAATGAAAAAAAAAAATAAAATAAAAGAAATTTTGACTGTTTGTGAGGTCCGCTTTTTTTTGTATTTGGGTTTTGTTTTGGGGATGAGCTATGTGGGTGTGAGCGTTGTGTGAGTGTGAGTGTGAGTGTGTTGTCTAACTCTTGGATCTATTCTAAGTAGAATAATGGTGGTGGTTGAAGTTGAGATTTGAATACTTAGGATTTTGGCTTCTCTTTCAAATCCAAAGGAATTCAATACGGTAAGTGCTTGATGATGTTATTATATATATATATATATGATATAATATACTATGTATTGTATTCTATTGTTTCCTTGTTCAATGAATAAAACAAAATAAAATAAAATATGAATTGAATGACAAAATCAAAATCTATAATCTCTTTCACTCTGTTCTTTTGTATGTCTCAATTATTATGTATCATCATATATGTATATATACAGTAATTAATTTTATTTTTTTTTTAATTTTTTTTATACGCCCTTCACATACACAAGACAAAAAAAAAAAAATATTTACACTTCATTTTCCAGGCTTTTTATTCTTTTCTTTTCTTAAGCGTGCTATTTTTAGATTACTCTTTTCAAAGCCACTGAGCACACTCTCTCATGCACTCCAAACCAAGCAAATAGTCGTCTATTTGATCCTCATCTCCAGTCTTGCTCTACCTCAGCTCAAAATTAGGAGCATAGCAATATACACTCACACCATCTGCAAAACGTATACTGTAAAATATTTATTTGTGTGTGTCTTTATAATGAATTGTTTTTATTACTTAATTAAGTAATTTCATTATTGCATTGCCTCTCATTTAAGTAGATGTACATATATACACATTATTGTACTTTTTATTTTTTATTTTTTCTTTTTTCTTCTTTATTTTTTTTTTTTTCTTTACACCCCTCACTTTTGTATACTTATATGCAGTATACTTATCACACCTTACGATTTTAAAGTTTTCTTCTTTTCTGCAAAGTAAAATTACGCTATTTCTCATACATACTGTGACAGTAAGTGGTTGTTGAACTTACTTACGAACGTAATCTTTTTTGATAACAACGGCTCAAATACCTCAACTCACCTTCCACTTAATACGAAAGTATAACAAAAATAAACTATCCCACCATCCACGACTCTTTTTCTTTTCGTGTCCCTTTTTGTGGACAAAGCAGTACATGTGTCTATCGGTAGGCTTGGAAATTATTTTGGCCGTTGTGTGTCTTTGCAAAATCAAGCCCTTTCTAAACCATTGCCAAGACAATATTTACGTGAGGATCTCTCGATTTTGCAGCCTCTTTCTGCATCTTTTTCCACTTTTTTTTTTTTAAATGCTATTCTCTATCAACAACTTGATATTCAACCCAATGCCGTCCCTAATGTTAGTAGTTTTAATGACTTGAAAATATGTCAAAGTTTAACTCAACTTGTTTGATTGTTTTTTTTTTTGAGGAGATATCAATAACTTTTGAACTCCACCCGACAGACAAGTGTACTTGTGTATGTACGACCATTGCCAACTTGATAGAATACAAAGAACACAACTGTATTGAGCAAGAAGCTAGTGTATACTGGTAAAGGTGATTGTGTTGACTTGAATAGTCCTTACTCTTTACTCCTTACTTTGTTTCTTCGTTTCTTCTTTCTTTTTATCATCCATATTTCCGTTACACAAACTTGAATCAATATTTAAGTTTTCTTTTCTTTCTTTCTATTCTCCTTTATTGTAAAGAGGTGTAATTTTGCCACTTTATTTTCAGCACTACCCGACATCCACCAGACGAAACACACACACACACACACACACACCACCCTTCTATACAATAGCATAAAATGCTGTAACAGTGTTTTCATTTCCTTTCTCCTTTTCTTTTAGCTCTAGATTAGTGTGTTTGCCGTTGTTTAACAGAGCAAGGAATAAACGGAACAAAACGCAACCGCGCAAAAGAAATGAACGCACCAATTCTCCTTTAAGCTTAGTGTGACATCATCATACTTCTCGTCATTCCTTCTCTCGTTATATCCGTTGATTTACATCTCACCCCTCTCCACCCATACAAATTCTTTGTTACAATAAAAAAAAACGTTTTCTCTTTTTTCTTTTATTTTTTTTTTTTTTTCTTTTTGCGGGGTTCTCCTTTTGATTTTGATTTTGATTTTTTTTTTTTCTTTAGATTTGCGCAGGGAGGTGGGGGAAAGTGGGGCAACGATGCATCGGATAGCGGCGATAAATTTCTGTATTGCCGAAAATAAACAAGAATACAACCCACCTCGACTCATTTCAAATCTCCCTGAAGTCAATAGTTCTTGATTAACTCCAAGTTAATTGCAACTCACTACCACTCTGGGTAAGAAAGAGCAAAACAAAGGAACCACATGAAAAAAGCTTACACTTGGACACAGCCACTAAAAAAAAATGGTATTGTTGCATAAATGTAGTTGTTACTTTTTGACTCCGCAGGCATCGCCATTAGCATCGCCACTCTCTTGTTCTGTTTTGTTCCACTCACTCACTCACTCACTCACTCACTCTTCATAATTTCTCTTTTTTTTTTTTTTTCTTTCTCGACCTATTGTTGTCTCAACTCCCTTTAACACAGTTCCATTGTTTCCTATACTGGATGTAAGGGGAAGTGGGGAAACGGTAGGCGAGAGAGAGAATGGGGGAAATGGAAGCGGCAAAACGGGGAAAGGGGGTGTAAAGGTACTTGTAACAACGATCTATATATTGCTCATTGGAAATCAATTCAATATATCCGTTATAAGGGTGTCTTCATTACTCGAATAGGATATATACTATAGTCTCACTACTTTCAAACCAAGTGATACGACCATGAATTGGAGCAATGTGGAGAAGAGGTGGGTTTTTAATGGTTATGAGTTTTATCATCACCAAATCCATTCTCGACACAAGACACGCATACACATACAAACTTTCCAACAACACAAAAGATTAAAAGAAAGACCATGACTTCTCCGTATTTATGGGGATTGTGGAAAGTATCATAACCATAACCATAACCATTAGCTACAAAATCACTCATTTCATAATCTCCACCTCTTTTTACTTCTGCCTCTCTTTGTGGGTGTTTCCTAATTAGGCATAACTACCCCAAAAGGGGAAATAATTTTCGCTCGTATTCCATTTATTGTTTATGCAACACGCAAAAGCTAAACGACTGGAAAATTATTTTATCTACTAGCTGTAGCATTTCAAATCTCATAAGTCACAAGAGATCTAACCCAATTTGGGATTTGATACATCCATATGTGAGCCTTTTTAGCTCTTCTATTTTTCAAATTTTACCTGTCGATGAGTTCTCTACGTATTGGTTTCAAGAAAGGACAGAAACAAAGAGAAGGAAAGCAAGCAATACATTGACAAAACACAGCCCCGCCCTTCTTCAACTTGGTCCTCAACAAAATCTATGTACTGATGGGAAATGAGTATAATACATCGAGTGGAGGTAAGCCTAAAATAGAGGCGTTATGCTGGGTCAAGTCTGAGGTCATAACCCCACCAAACAAACAGGCACCATTTACAATCACCACACCATCACTATGGCCACACTCACCACACACAAGCACACACAATATATATATATATATATCTGCCTCTCTTTTATTCACTAATTTGTGACGTGGAGAATTCCTAGCTTGCACTTTCGCATCTTTGCATTTTCGTATAGGGGCTTGATCTACAGGAATTTACGGTCACAGGATGCTACATACAATAGCAGCAAATGTTCACAACATCTGCTCTCTAAAGTTAGCGTTTGCTGATGTTGCAGCAGCTGTCTTTAATTCTTTGACTTCTGAATTTGGCCAAATTTATGGTTTGTATACCTAAATCAATCTGAATATAAAAGGAGGAACAGTTATGTGACATAGCAGAAATGTCCTCTAGTTGTGTTTTAAAATATTTTTTGGCAGCCATTTGGGTATATCTTATAATCTACTGCTATAACTCTTGATAATAAAGGCTGCAAGATTATAATATTATAGCTGAATGTGTACTCACAGAACAAAAGCTTTTCAAAAACAAGCGCAAATGGTTTAGTGGTAAAATCCAACGTTGCCATCGTTGGGCCCCCGGTTCGATTCCGGGTTTGCGCATTTATTTTTTGAATTTTAACTTTCTTTATTGCTTCTGGTCTCCTTCTCATTCCAAGCCAACGAGAACTAGTTGACAGTTCTGTCTGTGAGGTTATATTGGTTACTTTTTGGTGCCCCTATTCAATTGAGTGGATATAGCGTCGACGTGGAATTTTTTTTTTTTTTTTTTTTTGTTTTCCCTTGTTTGCTTTTTTTTTTTTTTTTTTTTGCAACAATTTCGCTTCAAAACAGGGTAAACACAAACAGGCGTAAACTATTGATCATAAAAATGGAAAGCTAAATAAATTTAACCGAATTCTTCTCCTTACAGGAATGATTCACAAACAAAACTGTAAATATAAAATTGTCACGACCGAAAAACTATAAAAAGCTATCAAATAAAAATGTATACCGAAAATTAAACAAACTTTGAACAAAGTTCAAAACCGAAAGAAAAGAAGAAAAGCAAAAAAAAAAAACCAACTTTCAAACCGAAAAAAAAAGATCAATCCTTGTCTTTTGTCACTTTACTAAAGCAACATGATGGCAATTGCCAAAGAAACAGCTCCAACGGAATAACCAATCGTGGCACCTACTGCAACAAAGGCGGAAATCTCAGGTGGATTCGACTCTGATGTCGAGGATTCACTCGACTGCAAAATTGAAACAGTCTCGAATGACGGATTGAGATCATTTGTCGCCTGTTGTTGTACAGAAGTTCCTCCTGTTGATACTGGATTCGGATGTGCGCCTTGTGGCACCTGACTTCCTGATCCTGGACTTGATCCTTGACCAGAAGCAGCTGGACTTGAACCTTGACCGGAAGCAGCTGGACTTGAACCTTCACCTGCTGATCCTTGACCTGAGCCTGAACTTGATCCTTGGTCTCCTGAACCTTGACCGGAAGCAGCTGGGCTTGAACCTTCACCTCCTGATCCTTGACCTGAGCCTGAACTTGATCCTTGGTCTCCTGAACCTTGACCGGAAGCAGCTGGGCTTGAACCTTCACCTCCTGATCCTTGACCTGAGCCTGAACTTGATCCTTGGTCTCCTGAACCTTGACCGGAAGCAGCTGGGCTTGAACCTTCACCTCCTGATCCTTGACCTGAGCCTGAACTTGATCCTTGGTCTCCTGAACCTTGACCGGAAGCAGCTGGGCTTGAACCTTCACCTCCTGATCCTTGACCTGAGCCTGAACTTGATCCTTGGTCTCCTGAACCTTGACCGGAAGCAGCTGGGCTTGAACCTTCACCTCCTGATCCTTGACCTGAGCCTGATCTTGATCCCTGGGCTTCTGATCCCTGAGCTCCTACTACTTGGCCTCCTGATCTTTGACCGGAAGCAGCTGGACTTGAACCTTGACCGGAAGCAAGACTTGCAGATCCTGCACCGTTTTCAGTACTAATAGTAGACCCGTTACCTGATGCACTACCACCACCCGAATTATGTTCAAGCTCATTTTCCGATATTCCATTTCCATTAGCCGTAGAGGTAGTCGCTGCTCCTGTTAACGGGCAATAAGTTGTGTAGACAGTATTACCTTTAGTAACAACGGTCACTCCAGTAGTCTTGGTGATAGTAGAGCAACCACTTTCGGAACAAGATGCCACAGTAATAATGGTAGTAGAACCTGGTCCGCTTCCACTTCCATTTCCATTTCCAGCTCCATTACCATTACCAGATCCATTTCCGTTTCCATTACCAGCTCCATTTCCATTTCCATTACCACTTCCATTACCACTTCCATTACCACTTCCATTACCACTTCCATTGCCATTACCACTTCCATTACCAGATCCATTACCAGCTCCATTTCCATTACCACTTCCATTACCACTTCCATTACCAGATCCATTACCACTTCCATTGCCATTACCACTTCCATTACCACTTCCATTACCAGATCCATTACCAGCTCCATTTCCATTACCACTTCCATTACCACCTCCATTTCCAGCTCCACTTCCATTGCCATTACCACTTCCATTTCCAGCTCCACTTCCATTGCCATTACCACTTCCATTACCAGATCCATTACCACTTCCATTGCCATTACCACTTCCATTGCCATTGCCACTTCCAGCTCCATTGCCTTTGCCGCTAGTTGGTGTCGAAGTCGTCGTCGTTGTTGTCAATGGACAGTATGTAGTGTAGACAGTAGTGCCCTCAGTGATGACGGTTAACCCGGTAGTTTCAGTTATGGTTGAACAAATGTCATGCGAACAGGAAGTAACCGTTATAACAGTAGTAGAGCCAATCGTCGATGTTTCAACCACTCCACTACCGGATGGAACAGACGAAGTAGGTGGATAAGACGAAGCTGAGTTTGATGTTGGCACAGAAGAACTTGGTGGTGGTGTTGAACTAGATGGTGGTTCCGATGAGCTTGGGGGTGCAGAACTGGATGGTGGCTCTGATGAGCTTGGGGGTGCAGATGAAGAAGGTGGTTCAGATGAAGAAGGTGGCTCAGAACTTGATGGTTCAGATGAAGAAGGTGGTTCAGATGAAGAAGGTGGTTCAGATGAAGATGGAGGTTCAGAGCTTGGTGGCTCAGAACTTGGTGGTTCAGATGAAGAAGGTGGCTCAGAACTTGGTGGTTCAGATGAAGAAGGTGGTTCAGATGAAGATGGAGGTTCAGAGCTTGGTGGCTCAGAACTTGGTGGTTCAGATGAAGAAGGTGGTTCAGAACTTGGTGGTTCAGATGAAGAAGGTGGTTCAGATGAAGATGGAGGCTCAGAGCTTGGTGGCTCAGAACTTGGTGGTTCAGATGAAGAAGGTGGCTCAGAACTTGGTGGTTCAGATGAAGAAGGTGGTTCAGATGAAGATGGAGGTTCAGAGCTTGGAGGCTCAGAGCTTGGTGGTTCAGATGAAGATGGAGGTTCAGAGCTTGGTGGTTCAGAACTTGGTGGTTCAGAACTTGGTGGAGTGGAACTTGGTGGAGTGGAACTTGGTGGAGGGGGAGGGGGGCAGCTACAATCCCAACAAAATTGTTTGATTCCACGGTGCTTAGTGGTGCAGCTATTCAACAAATCAACCATCGACTGATAGCTTCTTTTATCAAATTGTTCCAAATCATTTACATCGTAATTATCAGCATCCCTCTTCCGAAACACCAATTGCTGATTGAAATATGTCATTGGATCATACTGTTGAACTGCACCATTCCAAGCTTGAGTTGTGTAATAACAGTACGGTTGTCCGAAAACTTGATTAAGGGCTGCCCCGCCAGTACCCAACTGATTGAATCTAAACCAAACTCGGAATGCATCCGGAGTACAGCATTTACCATTCTTTATTTGTGGTCGGATTTGAATTTTGGCAGACCATTGGAATGGGTTGGTGATGGTATTAGGTATCCCAGATGAATAAAGCGTCGAATCAGCAGTTCCTGTGCCAGCTACGTAGACTTGTGCAATATTTTGAAGAAAATTGTTGTACAATTGGTCATACTTGTCTGCTTGGTAATTGATATAGACACTGTAGCTAGCATCTATATTCCTGTCTGCTTCTGATACAACAAAAGCTGCATTGAATGTGGGATTATAGTAGGTAGCAGGCGCTGAAGAGTCAACGTACAACTTGTCTGCCTGACAAACGGGTGGTGGCAAGAATAGGGTGTTGTCCTTGTAAGACGAGGGAAAAAAAACCAGCGAGGCTTGCACCCCCAACACAAATAGGGCTAGAAATAACCTCATGGGGACAAAGTTTTCACAAATGTAGTGCTAAAAACATTCCAGAATATTGATGCTGATATTGCACCGTGGTATCCCTTTATATATGTGCATTTGAATCGATCTTGAAAAACGATATTGATACTGAGAAATGTACTACCCCCCCTTATACAATTAGCAATGCACAAGGGGGACTCCCCCCCTCCCGCTCACGCCTGTACAAACAGCAGCAAATTGTCTATAAAAGCTAGCAAGAATTGGCTCTGTCGTAAACCGTAGTCATGCGAGACAAGTTAAATCCACCAAATAAACCAGGATACTTCATGCCCGGCAATAACTACTAGATAAATGACCAGCAGTAGTGCTCATTATGAATCTCTAAAGGTGCAAATCCCAAAACAAGGGACTTTTGCAAACGTTCTTCCAGAAGTGTTCTTGTGAATTGTACTGTTGTATGGATAATTTCATTTTAGTAGGGTGGGTTAGTTTGTAGCAATATCTGATTTGGATCGGCTCTATTGCTGCAAATTAAACTTTTTTTCTCTTTGTGAGTTGAAAATTTTCTTGGTATTTTGTCCGCTTAATACAGCTAAAAACTTTAAAAAAACTTTCGCTAGCCTGAAACACGAATACGGGGCTTATTACAGAATAGTGTATACCATTGTAACATCAAGGACAGCCAGTACAGTTTTGAAAGGAATCATTTGGTTGAATCACATAAGAGGAACTTGATTGTGAGTGCACCAAGGCTTTATTGCAACAAAGTAAAAAAAAAAAAAAAAAAAGAAAAAAAAAAGAGAGGCAGTTTGTATCCCTTTGAAACAGATATGGTGTGCCAAGAAAATTACCACTAAAGAAAAAAAAAAGTTACTGCTAGCGAGATAGGGTAGGGAGTTTGAGATACCAACAGACGTTACGTAGACCATAAATATACGCCGATCTTATCAATGAATCAATAGCGCACGTTTGGGTCTAAATGTTCAAACGAGTTGTACACTGAATGCAATCAATGGACAATTGAGGTTGCATTAGCATATACAGTAATGCAGCCATTAATCACCCAAACCATTCAGGTCGGGTCCGGTTAATTCAGAGAGAAAAACAGAATCGTCCGTTAAAGACACAGTAAAGTAGCCCAGTGAATAGACGATTAGGTTCTCTTAGAGTCTTAAGGACATTCAATAATGCTCAAAGTAGATCAACCGTATATGTTGTCTGGTAAGCTTTTGTGTTTCGACCAAATCACGTAACATTCTGCTGGGTTTGTGTCACTTGCATTGCCACACTTCAAGGAGAGAGGAGAGTAGATGAAAAGGCGGGAGTACAGAGCAAACCATTAGTGTTGTACCGAAAATCCTTTCATACTGCATACGTATATGTACTTCAGCCAATTAATTATATATTGATAAACATCATGGCTTTTTTTTGACCCAATACAACAGGGGAGGTTTTTTTTCCAAGGAGTGATTAAAAAGGAAGCATGTTTGGGGGGTAAAACCAACGCACCTTTTGGTTATGCTAAGGTAATAAAGGAGGTCATAAGCAAGCCACATTTGTATTCAAAAGCGAGTTCTTGGTGTTGTTGAGCCACGGCGATGTTATCAACTTCGGTCTTGGTCTATTTCCTCACTACCAAAAGCGAGTTGTAGTGTGGAAATGTGAATACAAATCCAAATTTTATCCCAATTTCTCAATGTGGTCTTAAAACGTCTGTTAACTAACAATCAATTCAAATTGCTATTCTAATTTGTTTTGTTTTGCTTTGGTATTTGTACAGACGAAAAATATTATTGATCAGTTATTAAAAAGGAACTACATATACTATATATGGTCTTCGCCCTCCTCGTCATCATTTTCATCACTGGAATCTACCTCACTCACATCATCACCATCGTCATCATCGTCATCATCATCATCATCATCCCCCTCTTCCTCCTCTTCATCATCCCCCTCTTCATCATCCTCTTCCTCATCCTCTTCCTCCTCTTCACTAGACTCATCATCATTTCCAAAAAATTCGTCCAAGCTTTGCAACTTATACGACTTTGCAGCTTGCTCTGGTCGACTGACACTACCATTATTAAACTGATTGGAGGAAAAAGACAGTGGATTCACAGGACTAGGCGATTTTGAGCGTTCAGTAAACGCACTCGATGCGTTTGACAACTTATTGTACTGTATTGGAGCTTCCTTTCTAATCAGCGACGCAGGCAACTGAGAAGGATCTGAATTCCATTCCAAAACTTTGAAATACAGTCCTATCGCATTGAACTTGTTACCAGCTGCCATATCGCTGACCAATGGAGTTTGTTTGGGGACCTGCAAAATCAACGAAGCCAATGGCGCTCTATCAACACCAGAGTGTAGCAACACACTAAACATCCTAGCTCGATCTCTTGTATCGTACGAAGGATCGTATTTCGCTAAATGCAACGTATGCTCAAACATTTTGAATTCGATCGAGCTTTGCAATTTGGAATTGATCATCTGCTTGTCTTTGTCCGAGTCTCCATGTTCTCCAGTTAGTCTGCTCATCTCAAATGCCACTATCTTACTTGCCAATACCAACAATTGGTATCGAACGCAGGCGGCTTGCCTTGCAAAAGACCCAAGCGCTTTCCTTAAAACATCCGGACCAATACTATTTTCTGCTAGAGCAGTATACTCACCGATTGTCCATATAATGGATGCCTTCGCATCATTTTCCAAATCCAATGCGTCATTGTTCAAGTAATCTGCTAATTGATTGAGGGTTGTTTTAATCTCAATTGTCTTGCGGTCACCGTTTGTATCACACTTTTGTTGAACTATGTACCGAACAACTGTTAAAACTTCATTTAGAACCTCCCCTTTCAAAATCGTAATGTTTGCCAAACTCCAGCGCAAGATCTTCTCACTCCACTCTTGTGAGATTTGAGAGCATCTTGCCATGACCCTTATGGATTCCTTCGCCACACCTTTCCGCATCGAGTGCAACGAGTAGTACTTGAGTTCCTCGTAAATATACTTGAAATTTGCTTCGTTGGAGATCAAGCCCAAAATGCTGATTTTCGAAGTCGCTATATTTAAAGAATCGTCAGGCGATACGTAAAACAGTCTGAACTTGTTCGCAAATAGGTACTTATTGTCTAGGCAGATGCGCTCAATGACTTGTAAGGCATACATCCTGGTTTGTGTGTCATTCGTTGCCGATGAAATGCCAACAAGAATTGCGTCCAAATTGGTCAAATGTGTTGGCGCTAAGAGGTAAATTGCTCTCACGACACTGAGAACAACCATGTCTGAAATAGATTGCATCAAGGGCTTCAATGATTGAACAAATAAAATCAAATCTGGATCAACGCTTTCCCCCGATGGTTTGGCAATGAATTTTCGACAATATATCGTAAGGACATCAATGGCATAAACCTGCGCCCACTCGTCGAGCTTTATCAACAAAGAGCAGATTCTTCTGTAATTTCCATGAATGAACTTCCATTTCTGTGACTCGTTGCGTACTTTTGAAGAAATTTTGTTGTACGCTTTAATAGCCGCTGAGACAACAACAGCTTCACTGTCGGCCAACAAATTCCCCAAAAGATCAAAAAGCTGTTTTTTAGATTTACCAGATATTGCATATACTTTTCCTATTGCCATAGCACTTGCAGCACGAACCAGTGGCGACGGATCTGTTGTAGTCCGCTTTAAGCTCAAGCAAAGTATCGGTATAATCGAGCGAATCTTAATTCCTGCCAAAGACCTGATTGCATTGGCTCTATTCAAAGGGACCTTATCATTAAGTGTTTTCTGTATGGAATTGATCGATAGTAATGCCGCATCTGCTTGAACGTTTGCATACTTTGTCAAATAAATAAACACCATTTGCTTGATTTTTGTATTTTCATTGGTGACATTCTTCACCACATCTGCAAAGTACGGTATGGCATCTTCTCCTCTCGCAATTAGTCCAAGGACACATTTCATACCATTCAGAATGTCCCTATTTGATCTGGAGTTGAGAAGTGCAGAAATCTCTTGAGGACGTGAAACACTTTGTGTATCAATGAGTCTTGCAGATGCTGACATTGCCGCTTCAAGTGACAAGTCCTTGGCGGACTCTATCATAGAAGTAATTTTCGACAATGAATCATTCATTTAGGTGACTCGTGAGTAGTATGTGTGGTTTTGTTTAAGCAAGGGTAGGGTGGTTTTAACCACTTATTTTTTTACAGGTTTTTTTTTTTTTTTTATTTTTATTTTTTTTCAACTGGTGCTACCAGCTACAAAATCGGTTAACCGCGATATCAATTGTAGACGTAAACGATTTTCTATACAGAAATATCTATCGATCTATCTACTTGTGTTTCCTTTTACTTAATTTGTTCGCAGCAGCTTTCAATCTTTTCCCTGTACTCAACTCCTTGCGAGTCTGGATATACTCTTGGGAGAAAAATTCGCCAATGGTTGATTGTGTACCTTCAGCTTTCTTCTTGTTCAAATCTCTAACCAACGGTACCATCACCTCATCCACTTTCTCTTGTGACCAGTTCACGTTGTACATTAGAAATGCTCTAATTTGATCCAAGTTCGGAATGCCCCATTTGAACTCACTTTTGTCTGAATCGACCTCGGGATGTTGATATGCTTCAAAGATTACTTTATCAGGAAAATTATCTGGTAGAAACAACTTCCCATTCTTGATTCGATTAGTTAAAGTTTTCTGCAATGGCGTCAAAGAGGTTTGGTCCAATTGCAAAGTCTTTGTTTTTTCATCAAACCAGCTTTTGAACCCCTTCAAACTGCCGAATTCTGCAAGTATTTCTACCGCCAACACGGGGCCGATTCCTTTAATTCCTTGAGTGTAATCGCTTCCTAATAATATGGCCAATTCAATCAAATTTTCTCTACTCAAGCCAATCTTGTTCTCGATATCGTCTTTGAGATAGCACTCAACAAATTGCTTTTGATTGAACATGTTTTTGTATATCCTGTCCCCACCAAAAAGAAAACAATCACTATCGTCTGTTATTATGCCGTCGACTAATCCAATTTTGAAAAGTTCAGCACATTGTGCTTCCGCCTCCATAGGTGCTGTTATGTATGGTATTCCAAACCTCCTTAGTAGTTCCTGCACATCACTGATCATATTCTCTGTAACCTCATCCGAATCTCTTTTGGCTTTCTGAAGCTTCTCCTGTAGTAACTGTTCCTCCGTGATTCTCGTCTCTATTGATGATATGGGAAATTCGTGAGACTGTTTAATTTGGCTCCTCAATTTTTCATGATCGGCTTCTTCACTTTGTAATTGCTGTACGAGTAGCCCCTCGTCATCTTCCTCAAAATCGTAGTCAATCACCACAGGTCGCCTGTGTTCCTTTTCCGACACTACCCCGACATCAGTATTCTGTTTGTGACCATTGTTCTCAGCAGAAGGAGCATTTTCCGGAAGCTCAACAGTATCATTACGCATCGACTCAATCTCATCGTTGTTCTCAAAAAGCTCTTTGGCTTGATACCATGGTATCAAACCGGCTTCTTCATCTTCCTTATAGCTCTTAGTTTCAAGTCCGGTACTGGGCACAAACTTCTCATTGTGAGGATTCAACGTTTGGTTAACTTCAGTTTGGAACCATTCGGGTAATCGCCTTTGCCCTTCAGTAGAAGGATAAATTGTTTTTGGCGAGTGTGTGGTTTCCATGTCCGAAGAGTCACTTCCCTCTTCTCTATGCAGACTATCTGCAACTGACTGCTTGAGCACACTTTCATTTCCGAAAGAAGATTTTGAGGTACGATAAACGTCCCGTTTGTCATTGGTTGTTGCAATGTCCTGCTTATTTGAGGCATCTCTTGCTGAGCCTCCATTAGCTTCGGCTAGTCTTGAATTTACCTTTCCTGCCTTGTAATCTTGTGAATCAATTAAGAGGGAGCTTTGCAAGTCACTTTTGGTTGTTGCCTCGAGGGGAGCTTCCAGCTTTCGATCCGACGCCCCTTTATTCCAATCAGTAGTATCAGTAAACAACATCGAGGATTGTAAATCTAATCTAGCATCTCTAGCTTCTTGCTCTTTCAATTCAAAATAATCTTTTTTACTCTCTTCCACTGCTTTCTTCAATTGCTCGTTGTAAGAAGTTTGCACGGCGGTGAAGTTTCCTTTTGAAGAATCACCATGCTCATACTGCTCATAAATTGATTTAATCAAAGCTTCCTGATTTCTTTTCTCGTCCTCAGTTTCTCCAGAATCGTCCAAAATCACATCTTCAAAGTCCAGATCGTTCTCTTCAGCATCATTTCTTTGCTTGGGACTTTTGTCCAATGGCTCCCGATAATCAGCGTACGGTGCTGTGGTCAACGATTGGTCACCCCCTTCAAGGGACAAAGTCCAACCATCCTCGTTTTTAATCAACGCATATTTCCTGTCTCTCTCTCCAGCAACCCGCCTATCAATTGTATCCTCATCGTTCATCCCAGTCACATTCATAAGCTTCTGTGTATAAAAATTTCGTTTTTGAACTTGTTGAATTTGAAATTTGGAAAAATCCATCAGGTTGGGGAACAACTCTTGAAGCTGTTCTTTTCTATATCCCATTCTCAATCTTGACTTTAGTCGGAGATGGTTCAAAATCATGTACTGTGTCGAAATGGGTAAATTAGCAAACTCTTTTGATTTGGGGTCAACTTGATTTATGTTGATCCCATCCACATGATCAAAGTCATCCCACATTTCAGCATTGCCGTCATCAGGCATAATCCTTTGGTCATATCGAGAGACCCTGAATTCGTCCAAGTCTGGAAGATGGTACTCGTCAGCTTTTCTAAACTTGATCGACTTTGGACGTTCCTTAGGTTGTTCTTCAACCACAGGCTTGTTCATCGGCAAATCATCAAAGTAAATCACATCATCGTCATCATCGTCATCGGCACTTGCTGCTTTTGTTTTTAGAGCTGGTCGTTTGTCTATCAACTCTTCCGCTTGACGTTGTAACTGAATAGCCAACAATTTTTGAGCAGTTTCTCGAGTTGATTCAGAGTTATGCTGCCTTCGATTCTTTCGTTCGTTGATCGTTTGTCTTTTCAAAACAGGGACTCCTCCATCAAACACAAATACCGGTTGAATTCCGAAATATAGTAGTTTACATATCCTTCTGAAAAACCCAACTATGTGAGATTGGGGCAATGCATTTCCGTCCTTGTCACGTACTGCTTTTAAAAACTGGTAGATCCAAATGGACGCGTCAACGGCAAGCTTCTTGCGCGACAATGCTTCTAATCTGACTGGTCGAGCCAGGGGACCCACTATATCCCATAGTGATTGAACACCCATTGTTTGTAGTGGTGCCTGTAGTTTGTGTGATGGCAATTGGAACTGGGTGCGCAATGACTGAGAAATAGCTTTTGAAAAGTGTCACAAAAGCAATCGTACGGGCATCACTACAATTGGTGCTCTCGATTGTGAAGATCAACAGACCATGCTCAGTCAATAGAGCAAACACCTTTATAGTAATTATGGGTATGTATATGTACTGCGAATTTTGGTACTGCGTAATGTGGGTTTCTTTCGTGGTCCTCACATCGGACCCAAAACCCAAAACCCAAAACTCATATAGTATGGAGAGATTACTTCATAACATGCTTTTCAAACATTGCTTCAATGCCAGAATACTCCAATCTACATATTTTGCCTCGCCGTTCAATGCAAAACAACATTGTTAGTCCTCTTGAGCTTGGCGTCCACCAAAACAAACGCATCTTTCTTTCCTACTCTCACGACCCCCACCTCCCCCACATTGCGTACAGAAGCAAGAAGAAAAAAAAAAAAAAAGGGTCAATCCTTCCCTCGGATCGATCCGTACTCCATTTTTTCGCACAGACAAGTGATCCGACTATCAAATTCTTACACGAAATGGCGTTTATTTCCTAATTGGGAACGGGAGTTTTCTTGGAAATATTTCCAATCGCCGACTATAAAAAGTGGCACGATAAACCTCAATCTACAAAAGATTAGCGAAAGACTATACAAGCTCAAACCACGAGTACACCACTCCCCCGCCTGCAATGTCTAAAGAATTTATGAGATTTCCTTCGAGGAGATCCACAGTGTACTCCCACAAGGGAATGGTTGCCTCAACACAACCTTTGGCAAATTCAGCTGGTTTGAGGATCCTTGATATGGGTGGGAATAGTGTAGACGCTGCAATTGCTGTGTCGGCAGCGTTGTGTGTTACAGAGCCTGGTTCGACCGGGATTGGTGGAGACTCATTTGCATTATTCCATTCCAAGGGCCGAGTATTTGGCTTAAATGGGTGTGGTAGAGCAGCCAAAAATGTTACTCCACAAGATGTTTGGGACGAGCACAATAATGGAAAGCCAATGTCAAGAATCCCCTACACATCAGTATTTTCTGTCACCGTCCCCGGTGCAATCAGCGGGTGGTACCAAGCTTTCACCAAATGGGGGTCAGGAAAGGTCACATTCAAGGATATTTTGCAACCTGCAATCACTTTGGCAAGAGACGGGTTTCCTGTGTCTGAACTCTCCGCTCTTAGTTGGAGACATTCTATCCCAAAATTGAAAGCTCAGAATGAAGGTGTAGCTGAGAATCCTTTCATACTAGAGGGGGGAAGAGGACCCGAGGAAGGTGAATATGTCAAAAACTTACCATTTGCAAAATGCCTTGAATTGATTGCAGAGGGCGGAGAGAAGGCGTTTTATGAGGGTCCCATTGCTGAGGCTATTGTCGAAACTACATCAAAGAGAAACCACAAACTTAGCTTGGAGGACTTCAAAAATCACACATCTACAATTGTTGAACCGATAAAGTTGAGCTTCCAAGATCATTACGTCTGGGAGATCCCACCAAATGGCCACGGGTTGGTTGCATTGTTGGCTCTTGGGTTAATTCAAGAACTACACAATGAAGGAAAAATTAATTTGTACGCATTGAAACATAATTCTACGGAATACTTGCATATATTGATTGAGGCGTGTAAATTGGGATTTCATGACTCAGACGAGTACGTCACGGACCCCGCGTTCAAGGAGATCCCAATCAAAGATTTGTTGCATCATCAATATTTGAAATCAAGAGCAAAATTATTCGATCCATCCAGGATTATTGATGGTGAAACTATGACGCATGGTGTGCCGGACCCAAAGTACAGATCGGACACAGTTTATTTCTCAGTGACTGACTCAAATGGGGACGCGTGCTCATTCATAAACTCGGTTTACGAAGGGTTTGGATCAGGGATCTTGGTGGAGAAGTTTGGGTTTTGTTTGCAAAACAGGGGAAGCAACTTCAATTTGACACCAGGGTTGTCCAATTGCTTAGAAGGCGGAAAGAGACCTTATCACACTATTATACCAGGAATGATCACCAACAAGGACGACTCATTGTATGCTGCTTTTGGCAATATGGGAGGATTTGCTCAACCAGTGTGTCACGTGCAACACGTTTTGAATATGATTGTCTTTGGCATGACACCTCAGCAGCTGCTTGACTCTCCAAGGTTTTCCTTGGACTCAGATCACGATCATTTGAAGGACAGAGGTAGAGGAGCTGACGGTCCTGTTAAAACCCCAATTACAGTCGTAAAGATTGAAGAAGGAGTTGGAGAGAAGGTCATCAATGAGTTACGTGCTTTGGGTCACACTGTTGATGTATTGAGTGGATACTCACGTCAAATCGTTGGACGGGGCCAGATTATCAAAAACGAATCAAAGGATGGACAGTTGATATTTGCGGGTGGTAGTGACATGAGAGGAGATGGTGCGGTAGTACCATTTGTATAGTTCGTACTACTTCAAATCAATACTAAAATACGATAACTCATGAATTTGGTACATTGTAAATTACTGAGAGCTTCTTCTTGCATCCTCTTCGATATCCTTTTGTCTTTTCAAAACAGTGGCAACACAGACAAGTACCAATGCATCTTGATGCATTGAAAGAACACTTTCGTAGTCAACATTGGGGTCGGGATTATACAAGTCGTCTATCTTTACCTCACCATACCCTAATTTGAAGTAAGATTCGGCTTCTCCTAATATGGCAGTACACCGCTCACCGTAGTATTCTGGCTTGGGCAATCTTGCTTTCGGATTAAGCTTCATTTTGAAAAGGGATTTCAAATACGGATTTGTCTTTTCCTTATCCAACTTGTCTGTGCGTCCATCCCAACTGTCCACCAAAGAAGGTTGTCCCCGTCTTAGTATGGAATGTTTGTATCCAAATTTTACTTGAAAGTACGTTTTAAACTTCGTTCGATAACTTTCATCTATCCATCTATGCACCTCCCCTTTATAGACGTAATCACAAATAGGCAATGTAGAATGAGCAAACATTACAATCTGAAAATTAGCCTTGGAAGAAAGCAGGTCAGGGGTGAAATCGAAAACATAGGTATTGTACCCTACATGGTATTTCTTCCTCACTTGACAATAAATGTAGAAATCTTTGTCAATGTCAAATTTGCCGGTTTGGTTGGGGACATACCTTCTAAACGTTAGAAATTTTGTCGTCACCGGATTTATGTGATTGACGGCTTTGAACAAAGGTATGCCAATCCCTTTACGCTGTAGGTCAACGACGTGCATATTCTGGTTGTTCTTGAAAGCATCGAATTTCTCTGCGGCATCCTTACTAACAAAGATCCTAAACCCATCTGTCCAAAGTCGGTTGTTGATGGTCACTGACCAGCCTCGAGGAGCAGCATCTTCGAAATAGACAGGTTCATCTCCTACAACTGGAGGTCGCTGAGTATACTCGGTTTCAGGGATAGTGGTGTTTGTGTATGCGGGAGGGGCTTCTGGTTTACCCATGGTGAGAATCGATTCTAGACAATATCAGATTCAATTGATGAGAACTTTTGTGACCTTGTATGAAGTAGCTGTGTCGTTCAAAACTGTGGATGCGAGGAGTTGAGTTTAGATGTGTTTCTCTTTTCTTGTTTACGAGCTTTGTTTGTGCAACTTTTTCCCTCTGATCATTCAAATCGGAGTTAGCAGTACAGCCGCATCATCGATGTCCGTCAATCAAAAACACTGAACTTACCACCACCAACATCAACAAGTTTCAACAGAGCACTACAATGGCAAGAGATGCGCGAGATGAGAGAAAGATTAGGATGTAGATGTCAATTGGACAAACAAATATAAAAAA